GCTTTACAGTAATGGCATTGTCGTTGTTATCACTTGGCAAGGGTTTGGGCGTTATCGTTTGCTTTACTCTTATCGTCTTCTGGTTGTTGTGCATGGTTTTCAACTTAAGGACGGCTTTACTCTCAAATCCCACGCCGAGAAATCCTAATCCTCCCTCGTGCCCCAGGTCACAAGCACCTTTTTGGGAGTAAATTTAGACTGCTCCTAGGGCTGGAACCAGCCGGCAGACACATGTCAGGAGGTCTGTGGCATGGAAGCAACTCACTGATTGCGCTCTAGGATTTTTCTAAGAGGCTGATTGGTTAGAAATAGTTTGCGGGGGCCGCATCCGGGTGATTGGGCGGAACAACTTCAGTCTCTGAGGCTCTGAGCTTCCGGCAGGATGATGGGCCACACTACCTTTGGGGAGTGGAGCTTCGCCGTTGCATGGACATGGCCAGCGTGACTCCAAAGTGTATCAGATGCGTGCAAGCTTTGCGCCTGCGGCTGCTCGGCGCCTGGAGCATCTTCTGATGGGCTGGAGGTTGATGAGATTGGCATGGTGATGACAGTGAAGAGGCTTGGCTGCTGTGCGGCCATCAGCCTCCAGTGGCAGGGCTGAGCTGGTCTGAGGGCTGGGGTCAAGCTGCACCCAGTCCCCACCTGCGGCCATCCTCTGGCATCGACGACCTCAGCAAGTGTCAGTCTCCCTCTTTCTCACATGGCATGCTGTGCTTTTCTGTTTAGGTCCCCCTGATGGCAAAGACAGGGCACAGCCACATCGAGCAGGTTTCATCGACTCCAACACTCCAGCCATTGATTTGCTGGTTCCAGGTCGCACAGGCCTCCGTGCGCAGAGACGCTTGATATAGCTCTGACACACTCATGGCCTAACTTACTACCTGGAACGCCTGGAAACCCCCGTAAAACTTTGTCAGAACACAACCAACCTGCACAATCTCTCTGGAAGGAAGGTCGAGGCCGAAGTGTGGCACTGCCCTGCCACGCCTTCTCCGCCAAGGGGTCGCTGGCGTTTGCCAGGGGCATGATCAACCTCTGAACACAAGGACTATCTGACGATCTGCGGCTTTCTGCGGATTTGCCTACCGGCTTCAGTCCTACTAGCATGGATTCTTAGACGTGTCTGGTCTCTTTCTTACACGTTTGATTGCAAAGCCGCCGAGGCCAACAAACGACAAACGTCACCCGAATGTCGAATGCAAATGTGCACTGGAGAGCAAGGACCCCCGAAAACAAACAACACAACTGAGATCAGCTGAGAACAGCTGAGAACGAAGAAGGCCCTGTGCTTCAGGCCAGGCCACTCTAAGGGTTCCGTTTGGAACAACGGGCCAGTGTCAACGAAGACTTTCAAACTCCTGGGCACGGCAGCATCCCAGAACGCTTGACAAATCACGCCGACATGAGTCACATTTTGTGTTGTTCCCTCTCGGAGTGGACACCCTGCTGGCCGGCAGGATGCTAATGCAAGGTACTCAGCACTTTAAGTTCCAGGGCTTGAAGCAATGCCGCAATCCCAGTAGTAACGCTGACGGCTAGGACTTCCCCAGCTGCGCCATGGCACACAGGGTCAGTGAGTTGGACTGTGCCACTCAGCTCGTCAGAGGCCTGGATCAGCTGCGCCTCGGCACTCGGGGCCCTGTGGTCCCCTTTACAAGCCGCAAGTGGAGCCAAATGCATCAAGCTCGAGGTCCCGTATTTTGGTGGAGTATTCTGGCTCGACTGAGCGCAGGCTGTCAAGGCCCGAAGGACAGCACCCAAATGTCGCCCTAGCAGCTAAGGCGGCACCGAACGATCCAGCAGCTAGGAATCATGCTGCATGCCATCTTCTTTGCAAGTACTTTTCTGGGCTCGTAGCAGCGCCTTCCCCCTGGGCTTCATCAGAAATTCAAAAACTCTTTAGACGAGGGGCTAGCTTGCCATGGGTCACCTTCACGAGGCTGACAACCACCACCTCACCCTGGAGTTGAGATACCAGGGATGCCTGGGCTGGTCACCATATCCTCCAGCCGTCGGCCGTCCATGACAAGAACAGAAGCAGAAGCATGATAAGAGAGAGTCAGCCAAAGCGCTGGCACGCGGATGGAAACCCCTTCGATTTCCACCGTCACGTTGTCTTCCCCCGCCTTGCAACACATGTATCATGTATCTATGTCACAGCTGCCTTTTGGATGGGCCCGACATGCTGTCCTCGAATGCGACGTTGACGATCGATCGGCCTTCTGCATCCTGGAGCTTCACTTTTTGCAGTGTGACAGCACTTCAACTAATAGCAAACAGCCCGGAGAACCCTGCCCGGTCCTGGCTGATGCGTTCCAAAAATTGCCCGCTGGTCAAATTCTCCCCGAAGAGAGGCTTGACCGAGTCAGACTGGCGGTGTTGCGAGAGAATAGGAAGGAATGCACAGGCCGTGAACTTCCTCCTCCCAAAACTTTGCTAAACTTGCAAAACTTCCAGATGCGCCTGTGTGCTGGCCATGGACTCCACTGCCAGGCTTGCCTCCACCTCAGGGCTGCCTCAGGCATTCCACGTCAAGAAACACTTGGAGGGACAGGGTGCTTAGACCTCATTTAATGCTGTACTGAATAAACCCAGTTGTACTTAAGGTAACTATAATCAAGGGACCTATAACTGGATAAGAAGTACCCTGCCCCTAGTGAGTGGCCGGCATGGAGAGCGGAGAGCTCGGCAGCTGAACTTCTGAAGTTTTCCCAAACCTACGGCCCCTCTGACCCCCTTCCCAGATCTTGCAAAACTCTGAAATAAGGAGTGTCCCATGTATCTTGATGGGAGCCTGCTAGTAATTTCAAGATTATTACCTTATCTAAGGGGTTGTGGAAGATCGGGGTTTTCCTTATTAGCCTAGACATGTTACGAACCCTAGAGCGAGCAAGAAGCTACTGCCAGAGTGACCCTAGGGACAAGAAGCATACTTGTTGCTGTTTAGCTGTAGCTGTAACTTTTGCGGCTCACCCGTAATAACTTGTTCTAGTCCGGCAGAAGCAGCCAGGAATGTGCAAACTCTACAACCTGATAAAGGAGCGAAAGTCTCAGCCCCACGAAGCCTGTGGAGTAGTTGCAAGATAAAAGCTGCACTGAAGAAAAGTTTCAACCTAGCGAGGTCCTTGGCAAGCCCTGTCCAGGAGGAGAGCAGCAAAAG